TTTACCTCTGATAAAAAAATATGCTCAGAAAATGTGATTTGAATAAAAATACATTATGTGAATAAGATAAAGGAGCATTCTCAAACTTTTAAAGTGCATTACGACTAGTATGATTGAATATTTAACTGATCAGAAAATAGTTTATTTAAATAATTTATTCATATGTTAATTATTATTAGCTGAACAATAACTTACAAAAAGTAGCTATGTATATATACCTGTACAATTATATCATGTTTCCACTTTCACTTCCCTCGCCCATTGCTGAAAAATTTCAAAAGATGTTCTATCGTTTCCATAATCACAGATCATCTTAGACGTTTCGAAGTGTTTACACAGTTTTGATTTGGTGGAAACTGTTTAAAAAGTGATTTGTAAATCAAGTCTATTTGGAATAAGCGTAATCCATAGGGGGAAATTACCTTTCATCATTACTGCTGTCAACAGCATTTAATGACAGACAGTGAGTTAAAAAAGTAAGCCTCACATCAGTCAATCAGAACCTCTGTTAGTACAGGATCAAACAAACTTATTATCCGTCCATAAACGTTGTTTGTCATGAGTGAAATTACTTAGTAAATAAACGAAGTATATTAAACACTAAATAGACACATTATTCCCTTAACAAACACAAGAAAAAAATCAATGAGCCTTGGGTTTTTTTTACCGTTTTTGTTTGTGGTTAGCTACCTGTTATCGTTGTTGTTGCTAGAGAAACCCGCAATATATGTTTTGCAAATATTCATCTGGTAGTCTATTATTATTAGTCATGTATTCACCAGTGACTCATTTCGAGTGGTAATTACCGGAGTCCTAGTCAACAGCTGTGACTGGAGGAATTCAACCAAGTCGATTGTGAGACCGTCAGCCAACAATAAAATTGGACGATGGTCGCTTACTAGCTAGTTGACTGAGTTAGATGTTAAAACTTTTGAGTTGTGACTCAGTGGTCTAAAAGCTAAACTCTCGTTGTGAGGGCTGAACGTCAAACCTTTCAATCTGTAGTTGGGTTGAGAACAAACATTATTGAGGAGTCCAATGGTAGGATAAAACATATGTTCAATTCTTCCTGGCTTTTAATGATAGTTTGACTATGATCAACCAGTAATTTCTAATATGAAAAATTTCAACAGTTTTGTTATAACTTGTGACCACCGATTAGAGGGCAGTGACTTATCAATCGGACCAATGACGCGTAAAACACGTGCGGACAGTCTAGAGTCTTGATTGGTCCTGCTTTCCGCCTAGCCAAGCCTGTTAAGTCCAGAACACCAATCCAAGCCTCTGCAATATGAATCAATTTATTTCAAACATACTGAGTTTATATACCAATCAAACAAACCACAACGTACCAACAAAATATGAAACAACATTCGTACAAGAATTAAACAGATGTGACTGTGAATGAGGGAGGCAGTGACTAATGGACAGGGAATAATTCAAGAATGGAAAATCATATAATAACAGTTCATAGGTTAAAATAAAGCTTATGATAAGAGAGACATGAATATGGATAGTTTAGTTAATTAACAATTATACGATAAAAATCTACGTATAGTATTGGTCCACAAATGGATCCCAAAAGTTACCATCCATTATTCTTGCTGGGACAGCAAGTTTCCACGAACCCGCCATGGTATTACCATTTACTTTCTAGACTTTGGAGATTGAGCCACTATTTAATGGTCTGAAAGTGTAGTTCTCATTGTGTTACCTAAAGATCTTAGATCAATCAAATTTGACTCGTGAGTGTACACTTCACCACAATCCGTGATTGTGAAAAAAACATTGCATCAATAACGTGCTAAACCATAAACTAATCCATTGTTTTTGCTACTAACTAGATGCTACAATATGTACATAGAGAGTATTTACAAAAGTGGTTTTACTGAAATAAATGCAGTTGAATAGTAATAAGGTGATGAGAAATAATAATTTTTTGATCAAAAATATTGAAATAATAACACTTTTTAACATAGCCACGTTATACTTGAGAATACACGCAATTTAATTCACTGAGTTTAAGCATATTGTTGATAGAATCATCCTTAATTAAACGAATAGTCTAACGTTGATGGGGGTGATTTTTAAGTTAATTTTCTAAATTAAGTAAAGAACCATGAACATGGTCTTTGTTATTTGGTGTTGGCGTATGTGTGGATGACAAAAGCCGAATAATTCATGCATTATATAATTAAATAATCATCCTAAAAACTACTTACTTCAACAAAACCATAAGTCCATCCTAGTGCAATACGATCACGTGCCCACATATTATGTGTGTTTTCAGCTAATTGATCAACTAATGCTTCTATACGCACGGACAAACGAATTTGTGTTAAATCCAATGGCTGAGGTTTATAACCATTAACCTGAGTAAAACTATTTTGTTACGATTATTAAGAGAAAAACAAAATGAAATAAAAAGTTATCTGTAGCTATTTCCAGTGTTCTTCAGTATTGAACTTCCTTATGTTTACATACTAGAGTGGTCCCAGTGAGAACGAATGAAGCAGAGTTTATTTGAAGTCGATTTGTAATGATATGGATTATTCTTTGCTGATATTTTGACTGAATTTGTATCAGTTTTAGTTCTCAAATGTGTATCCTGTGTGCATTGTCTAAATATAACTAAAATATCAGCTGGTTGTACTTGGGTCTCTTAGTTGATATTCACTTCGGAATTAAAACCTAGTATCCTTAGCTTTAAACGTTAAACAGTTTTTCCATTTATCCACTGAACTATCAGCAATGGAATAACCAAAATTATTACGAATTGAATAAGAATTTACTCAGTCCAAAGGATTCTTTTCATCTATAAAAAACCTTTAGTGTTAACACATGCAAAGAATGTTAACGTACTTCTGTCAATGGTTACAAATGCAGGTAAAAATTCATTAAGTGAACTTGCTTCTACTGGTTCGCTTACTTGGACCTAACTCCGCATCGCTTTAAACGTCAAAACATTTACTAATAGGCTACTGAAATGCCATGGCTATATTTGTTAAATGATTTTCATTTGTTGTAAATCCTTGTTGGCTTCTGGGACTAAATTACTGAGCTTCTGTTGAAATTTAGGTTGGTCGAATGAATGCCTTTATATTATAGACACTTTTTCGTTGTTATATAATTTTTCTTGTAACTAGCTATTGACATGCTTAATTCTGGTTGATATAGATTATTTACAATATACAGTCATTACTACAAATAGTGTAAGCAAAATAATCAGCTGAATATCTGTTGCAATGGGCGGTGTCCAAGGTCTGATATGGTTACACAACATGAGACTACTTGAGCGAAAAGACAAGAGTAAAGAAGAAAGTCTATTGATCTACCAAATAACATGAATGTAATACTTATTTGTACTTATACATTTATACCCCTTAGAAAATCAGTGTATTTCTTAGCTAATGGAATGCATTTGTCGTTCAGGACATTTATGACTGTCGTCAAGTGACTGTGGAGGCCCGTAGTTTGATTTTGTCTTCATTTAGATCGACGATATTCGTTGAAGGGCTCACCATTTTAGTGGCCCGTGGATCTGACTCCTATTTAGATCGTATGGATGTTTGCTATCGCCCATTCTCCTATATCATCGTCGATTTAAACCGCGTCATCCAATAACGGAATTTAGATAAGTCAATTAACGAGAATGGCCTTTGAATACATATATTTTGTATGTAAAGTGAATCTAATAGAACAGAGCAAAATAACGCGCAGGGATGATGGCTGGGAAGCCAACTCCACTTTTGCCAAGCGTTACTCAATATTTATAGTCAGACAAAATAAAGCAACAGACATGTGATTAATGGGATAAGAAGGGCACACACATATACGCTCATATAAAAACAGTCAAAACTGATAAGCGAATAATTGACAAGGTCAAAATATGGCTCAAGTAGAATGAATAGAATGGAATGTCCGAAAGCTAGAATAAGATATATGGGCTTAAAATAATGACTGACACTACATGACCACCTCGTTTGGCTACTTTTGATTAGCTTAATGTGTAGATATCCAAAAGAGATTGAAGTCATTTATAATCTGCTCTATGATACTAATAATGTCATCAAAGACACATCAAGGTAAATCACACCCGCTTTTCGATAGTATTCCATATCTCAGTGAACTGACTAAGAATTGATGGGGTTGGTTTCAAATAGGTCAATGATATTACAATCTGACATAAAACAGACGAACAAAACAAGGGATCAATCTTTAAAGTCAGTGTCAGTTAGCCTGAGATGTCTAGGGAGGCGTGAGCTTCTTCGGTATGATTGTGGAGTTGCTGGGATCACTACTGAAAACCGAGTGTTATGCAGCATGGGCATCTGTTTTTTATTTCGTAAATCTAAACCATTATTGTTTTCAGTATGGGGTTGTGGGGATTTTTAGGTTATGGATTGAGATCATGAATCAATTGATGTCAGACCACTATTGAAAACCTGAAGGGACTAGACGGCCGTTTCGTCCTAGTATGGGACTCCTCAGCAGATCTCAGCCAGAAACGTACCAATCTCCACACCCTCATACTGATAATTACCATGTGCTCACCAGTGACTTGCTTTGTGAGGGAATTCTCGAAGTTCTAGTGAGAAGCCGTGACCAATGGAACTAATCCATGTCAGGTAGAGACAATCTAAGATGGTCGCGCCACTAGATGCTGGCTCGGTCTTCTAGGAGTTAAGCGTTCGTGTGCGAGCCCGTAGGTCCTGGGTTCGAGTCCTAAGAGCGGGGTCGTGGACGCCTGCTGAGGAGCACCATACTAGACCGAAACGGCCGTCCAGTACTCCCGGGTTTCCAATGGTGGTCTAACATCAATTGATTCATGATCTCAACCATTACTGTTTATTTATCTACTTCAATCTTAGCGTTTTAATAGGTTTTTATTGGTTGTCTTTTTCCCAATGTTGTAACCTATGACAACATGAGGTAATGCTTTACTGTGTGACTCATCACTTATTTGTGTTTTTTAGTCTGTCTTTTTATCAATTCTTTTTCATTATTCATATCCACTCTACAGTTAATATACAATTGCAAACGTTGTTAAAAATATGGTAACATTACGACCATAAACTATTGTATTACTGTGAATAGTGCTTCATTTAGTCAATCTGTGCGTCAAATATACCAATCACTAATAGGTTTGAAAAGTGTAGTAGAGACGAGAATGGATAAGGTTTCCAATAATATTACTTAACCATATTCATAGAAATGCTTACCTATTTGATAGCTTCATTGTTCTCATCCTTGTACCCTCAGGTAATGCTTCATAAGTAATATTATAACCTAAGCTAATTATTGTTCTTAATGTTTCGTAGGCAAGTGTTACATTATACTGCTTATCTGACGGCGGCAGCTTGTCAAATGTAGTCAAACAAGGATGAAGATTATTTTCATCATCTCGACGCTATTTTTTCACAAAAAAAATGAGTAGGATATTTCAATATTTCCAAAACATTGAAGATAAACAATAACGATAATCAATAAACGAAATTATTTCATTTGTCCATCAAAACTTATTACAACACATTTTAGCCATCTATTCGGTAAATACGAACTACGAATAATGTTATTCAGGATTCGTAGTAATAAACTACTATAAAGGATTATGATCGCTGCAGTATACTTGTAGCCCTAATTAAATTTCCTCATATATATATATATATATCTTTATCAAAAAATAAATCGACCATCCTGGTCAGCAAAATAAATGTGACTAAAAATTCAAATTTGTCCCATAGAAAGTCCGGCTCTCATAGCAAAACCAAAAATATGAGATAGTGAACAAACTGATCTAAGGTAATCGAAATAGACGAAAACATCACTATGTAAAACTGTAACCCTGCTCCTAATAATTATAAAAATACTGTAGTAGGATTCGTAGTGAACCAGGCCCAAGGTGTCAAAGTTATGACCAATAACGCACGTTTTTCGTATAATATTCTAAAATAATTACATGTACTTATGGCATTTATTATGTTCATCATTAAAATTACTCTATCTCAATCACTGTAGCGGTTATTCACAGTTCCGCATGGTCGTCTAATTCTTGTTAAACACAACGATTTCCGTGTCTATTTGCTTTTAGTTCCGTTTTTCGCATGTTGAAAAACTGTTATCAAGATTAGACTCTGCAATCAACTGTCATTTACACTCTTGTGTCATAACTAATCTTTATATTATTATTTCGGGAAGCCATTTTTATTTCAGACTAACAGCTGCTTTAAGGTCCACAGATACCTCACAAGTTAAAGTTTGTAACTAATTTTATACATATTACTCAATAAAGAACCTTCTTTTTGACAAGTCGCTACTTTATGAACTTCGGTTTCGCGTGCATCTCAATCGTGTAATTATACGCTTTGATAGGTTCAACAAACACCTTGAATCAAACCACCAAAAAGACACCCAGACTGCGTCTGCTACAGCGTAGAGAAAAACAGTCGGAAAATAATAAAACTCCTAGAAACAACGTCACAAAGGAAAAAATAAAGTATCAAGAAAACAAACTAAAAATATTCTTTTAGAACTAATGAACCAATTCTCGTATAGCACAGATGAACTCCCAGAACAGTGGATTCATCCGGACGTTATCGGAATTCTACAACCGTAAAGACATGAAGGCATTCCTAGACATTTATTAGAGAATATTCTTGCTGGACACCATCGGAAAATCTTTGCGACGATAATATGCGCACGAGTCATCACATCGACAAATCATCTCATACTACCAACTCAGTTTGGATTTAGACACCATCTGTCAACGGCTCAGGAAGTCACATCTCTTGGACAGATCATTCAAACTTCACTAGACAATGATACTCAGATAATACTGACTTTCGTAGGCCTAAATAAGATTTTCGATACCATCCCGAAACAACTGCTACTGAACAGGTCAAACAACACCTGCGTCTCTCAAAACATCGGCTAGTGCATCATGTGCCTTCATGATGAATCTAAAGGATATATAAAAAGACAAAATGTAAACTTCACAATGTACAAATTAGTAAAAGAATGGAGCAAAGAGGGTTCTTCTTTTTTTAGACTATTCTGCCAAGAAATCCTCAAAACTGCTAATAATGAGGAAAATTTATTACTACAACTAAATGAAAAAAACACGACAGAATAAAGACTATCGCATCGAATACGCGGATGATCTCTCCCTTATCATGACAAATACCAATGATTCCTCCAAAACGTTGACTAAACTTTAAAAAAAAACTCAAAGCCTTAGGAATGTTGAACACAATAGACAGAAAAAAGACTGACCGTAAGTAAACAATGGAACAACCGGTAAATCTACATTGACAAAATAATCATTGAAGAAGTAACCTTCTTTTAGCTATCCGAGACCCATAAATCGAGCAAACGGGCCTCCTGATGATGTAGTTAACCAAAACGTCACTAAAGCTCGTCACGCAATAATCAAAATCTAACCATTGTTGAAATGGAATAACATCAGTCTACCGACCAAAAGGAAGCTGATAGAATCTACCATAATAATGGCCTTAGTCTACGGTCCAGAGACTAAAATATTAAGAACTAATTACTAGAAGCTGTTCTCAATACAGTAGAATAATTGATTCTCGGAATCCACAACCAAAAAGATCTGACGACGGTGGAACTAGATTAGTCTCCCAAACATGCCATCAAAGTCCGGCAGAACCAACCAAATACCTGGTATACGGCTCACAAACGACCAGAAAACTCAATGATGCATAAATGCCCATGCACAGGCAATACAAATCTTAACTGATAAAAAAGGGTATAATAAACCATTGTTACGTGATACATAAATGGTCGCCAATAACTAGACAAGAAATAAGACCAAGGAAGAACAAAACAGCTTTTGCGGCCCGGTAGTTGTGCCTTGTTTTATGGAGTGTATCTCCAAAATAGCTAATTGGCTAAAAGGAGTAATTAAATAGAAATTCTGTTTCCCTGGCTGGCAGGGAAGTTTAGAATTAATAGTTTGTTCTGTGTGAAACTTTTCAACTGTATTTGCGTTCATTTTAAGATTCGAACCTAACGACTGTTGTCTAAAACACCGTCCAGCCTCATTTAGTTCTTGACAGATTAAGAAATGGAGAAATTATTCCCTTGGGACTGGTATGGCTCACAAATAAAGAAGAAACAGTAGTACTTTTCAGCTGTACACAGCAAAATCTGATCAATTGTAATGACAAATCAAGTATTATCTGTTAATAATGGTTCACTTTATCTTAGTTAAATACAGAAAAATAATAGCGATGAACGTAATCCGCAAAAGTTAACTGTAAAACGTTGGTTAACAGTCTAAGTAAAATACACTCAACTAATGACATGAAGTTAATAATTAAGCAAAGAAGAAGAATTGGATAACAACTGAATTAGAACTAGTGGGTTTCAGGTTACAGATTTGATGTTTTACATACTGAGACTGTAACTGAAATTCAACCACTGAGTGTTATAACCAACTATTGTGTGAAAAATTAACAAATACGTATCTCTATGTCTTAATTTTTTAGGCCTAACCAGTTGTTACGCCTTGGATGATAACTCATTCTACAACTGATGGGAATTGTCAAAAATATTTATAAAATGTCTTAAGATAGTAGGAAATATGTTCTCATCAACTACTCAGTTTATTGAAATGATTATGTAAACTATTACTGAATGTTAGACTGCCGTAATAGTATATCAGAGTGAATAAATGAATTAAATTACTTTACCTTAAGCCTTACGTCAGACGCCAACAACTTTCATTTATACCAGATTATCGATTCAGTTAATCCATATTATTTATACCCAGTGATAAACATCCAGTAGTTTCCACACAATGCACCTAAATGCAACTGAGTAAATACTTTTTTCAAACGTCAAGCACTGAGAGGATTAGTTTGTTCCAACTAAAATTCATGTTTCATCTCATTATACTTTTTTATTTTAATCAGTTTAGAAGAGTAAAACTTACTTCACCATATTTCCATCCCTGGTCAATTTTACGCATAGACCACATTTCATGTAGATTCTCAGCTAATCTATCACGAACCATTTCAACATAGTTTGGTAATTGGATCTTTTGGAAAAAAAAGATGGAAAATCTGTAGACTAATCAACATTGTAATCATTTTCAATCGTATAACAGAATTTACAGACAATAATAGGATTTAATTGCACAGACTTTAGCGGTGATTTTTAAAAGATATGATGTATTCTGAAAAATTCAAACGAATAAACAGAATTATAAGATTATAGTAAACGAACGAGGCCTTCTCAAATGTGTTTATAATATGTTACATTTGTCTGGTGGATTGATGTGTGTGGTTATTTGTTTAGTTGGTTGGTTTGTAAAATCAAGTTCAGTTGAAGATGGATTTTGTCTCTGGATAACATCAGAAGGAGAACCATTGAAAATCCAGGAGCAGTGGACCGCTTTTTTGTTCTAACTTAAGATCCTTCTATATATGGAAGTGGGTGTATATTGCTATTAAACCCCAATCTTAGACAAAAAAGGTTTAATGAACACTGGCAGTCAGTCGTTCTTTTGTATATGCCAGTGCATGACGGAAGGTTTTTTTAATCGAACTACATTGTATAATAAATTCTGACGTTAGTGATGATTATCAAATAAAAACTAAATAATAGAAAAATGGATAAGCTATTTATTGTAATACTTACATGAGAAGTACGCACTGTACGTGGTACAAATACATATTGTTGTGGTGTTGGTGAATTCAGTGGACCGGTGAATACGTATTTATCAAGTTGACCGAATGTAAATACAGGTTCAAGACGAAGTTTTTGCCCCGGTTGTCTAGCATAATATATAGGTGAGTAACCGGGTGGAGGACCATGATGTAAACGACCTTGATTTGATCCTAAAAGAAATCTTGCACTTGCTTTTGCATTCATACTCATACATGGATAGAACAAACCGCTTATATTGAAATCCTAGAAACATTGGTAAATAGTAACAGAATATTTGTGAAAACATCAAAATGAAAGATTAAACTAGTGAAAATATATTCAGTGATAATAAGTATCTCAGTGTGGTGTATGTACGTTATAGATAAATTCAGAATAAATGACACTGAAATAATAATGCATCAAAAATAATATTCAATAAAATTTAGTCACTGTAATCACAGCAAAAGTGGATTGTCATTTTCATTAAAAATGTACACGTTCACGTTTTGCATAAGCTAACTACATGAAATTTTGTTTAAACAGAAATATTTATCAAATCAAAGATTTCTGTTATGAGATACATGTACGTACTTAAGTGACTAGTATCCTAAACTTTTGACGTCCATATTGGTAACCATAAACGATACGGATCACATAGTAATTATAAGTTCTTCAGCTGATTCACCTAGGCACTTTTCGCAAAGTCAAGCCACACTATGTAATAATGTATCAGTTTATCAGTCCTCTTGTTTTACAATAGATGAAGACGAAAACCAGTTGGAATAACTTATCTGGCAAACGGCAATACATTGTCGACACAAATGAAAAAAATGACCAGATGAAAGTTAAACATAAATTACAATTTGATCATGGAAATTGACTAAACAACGCTCACCTGAAAATATCCCCTTACTAGACGCCCGTTCACATTAAATTGAATAACAGGTCCAGTTAAATCCAACAAGCATCCAATAATATCACCACGTTTCAACGGTACATTAGATGTTGCTTCCTCATTTGTTGCTTCATCTGTTCCGATCGTAGCCCGTTTCGGCTTACCACCAGCCCATAAACAACTTCCATCAAATGCATAACTAAACAGGTCATCACCCAATCCTGCAGCACCCCAACCAGGTCCACCACAGGGATGTGCATTGTAACCTTCTGTATTAGCCCAACCAACCCGAATTTTTGCTGGTTGATGTGTAACTGTCTCAAGCGAATCAATAATTACTTCAAAATACCACTTAGGATACATAGCTCCACCCTTGAAATGGAGGAAATAGTAAATGTAAACAATTTTCTGGAAGAAATAATCACATTTTATATGTTTATTGTGACCAATATTTATAGTACTGTATCTGAGATAATAATCACTGGAGTGTCAAGTAATTCCGTCTCATTACTAAAACAATATATCAGAAGGGTGAATTTTGAGTTTCATGTTTATAAAGAACATCTCAGAGATTCCGAGTGAAAATAAGAAGCAATGTTGATGAGGGAAAAGTTATTACTTTAGAAAATGCATGTATGACTATCGAAAAGGATTATTTTAGTTTACGACTCAACTGTCTTGACTTTTACCTTTTAATAGATGAGTCATTACTAAGTACAGTCTATCGACTTGTGTTCAACCATACTCAAGCCTTGATGGGAAGTGAAAACTTTTTGGTTGACGCTTAAGTCGTAATGTATGGCTATAGGTGTTGGACAGTATGGCGCGAAATCATTCGCAGTGCTATAGTTCCATCGATCTTCTAACTTCCTCTGAATCTATATTTTCATTTTTTAATTTTTAAACTATATCTTAAATGTCTAGATTTTTAGTGTAATTGATATTAATTCCTTTACTTAGTTTCTAATTTCATAAATTTCCTCTCGTACTGTGATGATTCGAGTCATAATAGTTTGATCCTCCACTTGCCCGATGATAATCGATCGATCTGAGGTTATGAGTAAGAACTCAACACTTGCTGTATAGATCTTGAATCAATCTTCTATGCGGGATCGATTTTAGAAAGCTATGTCTCCGTAATCCATAAAACAGAAAAAGCTGAAGAAATAAAGTATGCAAGACTGCACCTAGAACTTTTGGAATTTATCAATCCCTCATCATTATCAATTTTGCTTTCTGTGTGCAGTTACGAACATCTTTTTAATTACTACTAGAAATTGTGACATGTATCCCCGAATAAGCTTCTAAATGTGTAGCATTTAATTCGAGTTTAGGGATATATTTGTAACACTAACAACTCAAATGTTTCCAATTTTTCAATTAATCATGAAAGAAGTGAATATTGCACATACTTCAATGATCAGTTCTAAATGGGAATAAGAAACCGATGAGAAACCATTTTGGCACTAGTGTCTTTTTAAGCGATATTAATTTATGACAAAAAGTGTATATGAGTAACTAGATTATCTATCAAAAGTTTGAAAATCGTTTATATGATAATTTTGACTTTCCAATTAGTTCAATAAAAGCAAACATAAAGAACTATTGAAGATTCCGAAAATATTTTAATCCGGTATAACAGGGTACATGAATTTATCAATAACCTTTAGCCAATAGCATGGTATATGATTCTCATCAACCTTCACTTTTGCTCATTCAAGAAAATTTTCCATTCATGGTCAAAATCACGAACCGATTTTAGCTAGGCCACCATTAGGAACTTTCAGGCACTGGAAAGCTGTTTCATCCTAGTGTGGAACTCCTCTTTTAACCGAGAATCAAACTCGGGACCTTCAGGTCACTGAACCGGTGTCTAATGGTGCTAGTGTCTAACCTCATACGATTCACATCGATTGCCAGCCCAGTGGCCTAGAGGTTATGCTTCCAAGCCTGAGGCCGAAGCTCCTGGATAAGATTCCCGGTTATATGAGTGCGGATCCTAACTGTTAAGGAGTTCCGCAATAGGATGAAACAGCTGTCCAGTGCTTCCAGGTTCTCACTGGTGGTCTAGCTAAAATCAGTTTATGATTCAAACTGTAAAATTTTATATGCTCCGCAAATCCCTTTATATAAGCGTTTAGGTGCAACATCTTGTTCGTAGAGCTACCATCAACAACTAACGGAGGTTAAGTATGATTATTAGTGACATCTTTCATGAAAAAGATGAGTCAGTGTGAAATTAAAAGTGGGTCGGTTAAAGTGAATATAGAAAAATCATGTAAACAACTTAAATTTGTTTTAATAACCATTGGAGTTTTGTTTCCTATACATATTAAGTAAAATCAGATAAAGGGTGATCAGTAATAATTACATATAATCATCAACAATTATAAGGCTCACATCTTTATAACCGACAAATATATTTGGTCGAACTGATCCACATTGATCAACTAATTTTGTTTGTAATAATAAATCTTTTTGTGGTAGTAAGGTTTCATATATCAACTCCTGATTTAATCGTACAGCTCCACCTTGACGTCCTAGACATAATGAACATAATGCTTGTAGAACCTAAAATAAGAATTGTAAAAACATTTGTGCACTCTGTTATTCGTATAATATCTGAACCATATATTAGGAAACTTTTATTTCTAGAAAAGTCATAGATTTGTTAAGTAGCCAAAAAAAGTAAATAATCAAATTTCAAAGTTAAAATGAACGATAACTCAGACTATAGATAATTTTTATCACGAATTAGTAGTAATTAACGAACCATAGAAAACAAGGTAGCGGCACACAGCGGAGTCATCTCAATCTAATTGAATTCTCTACTATTCTATAAATTGAGTGAAGGTGAAAATGTGAGACTTTAGATCCCAAACAAGTAGTCATGCTCTCTGATAGACCCAAGTATCGACAGCTCCATTCTATGTAAAATCGTGAATGAATACCACTTATTTTAAGTTATAAAGTAGAATGAAGCAATAACTCAATTTCCCCTCCTGCTTTCAGTAATTCACCTGACAGAACTACCTACAACTAAACCAGTAATCTGATTAAAAATTAGTTGAATTATTACTTCTTTCCAAAGGAGTACAACATGCCATATCGTACAAATACATTTAACACAGCTTTTTAAATAAATATTTAATAAATTTGCAAGATAGTGATTAAAAATTCTCGAGTTTTTTTCCATAAAAATATACTTTGTTAGGTATGTGTAAAAATAAACTTTTTAATAAGTGGATAATGTTATTATGTTTCTTAACACTAACGCTTTGAATAACATTGTATTTCACCCATTTACTCATTAAAGCTGTTCTAGTCTGAGAACAATAAAACTTACTATTGAACCTGTAAACACTAGTTTTCAGCAACAGTCCGTCAACCCACTGGCACACCGATACTGTTATAACTCAGCAGAACACTAATATGGCCATTTTTCATAACTGTGGAAGACCGGCGACTTAGTGAACACTGCAAATCACACGACTCATGTGAAAAGGCGAATATTACGGATGAAGGTTTATTAAGCACCAAAGATAAATCAAAACTTCACCTTAAAACACTGAGCTTTATATGATTTACTTTTGTGGTCAATAACCAGACGTGAATACATCGAACTTAAAAGTACTTGAGATTGATACATCAGTAAATTATAATTTACAATATCAATAACATGAACTGTTTCAACCAACAAAGGTAACTAAATGCCTCGTCCTCTCTGAGTTAATATTTACAAATTTTCTATAAGGCATCAAACTAGTTGTTCTTCCTCATTTTTGAAGAAATGTCTTGAATCATCTTTGCTTGAACTCCCAGCATTTTAAATGATATATTGACGAGTTCAATAGCGTTTACCGAAATAAGATAAACATTGTTATCTCCTGAAATAGAAGCAATCATTGTGTTTTCACCCGGAAACTTCTGGTTACCAATTAGTCTTGACAATGCATTGATATGACCAAAGACATTAGTAAATTTATACCGGATTCGAAAATCATAATCCAGTAGGTTAAAAGCCCATCTTCGAAATTAGTATTCTACCGAGAGTAGAACCTTGACATTAGATCCAGAAACTCCTACAAGTAGTTCATGTCTGTAAGTAATTTTGAGTGTAAATCATGAAGCTTTTTTTAATTCTTTTACTTTATTGAATGACCGTTCTCATCAACTTTCATGGAAAATTAATAACCTTATCTTAGAATATTTCATATAAGTTAACTGTCTTCCCATAACATGCATCCGTATCATCTTCGTTGTATTTTGAAAAGGAAATGTTTTTTTATTATTCACAATGTAATAGTATTCCACTCAAACCACGTAAGTCCATATGAAGAAATCAGTCATGCACAAATCGAATCAGAAGTCAACTCAAACTTTAGATTATTTAAAAAAGACTTCAAGAAATACAGTACTAACCCTTGGATCACGACCTTGTTTGTCCAGTAACCCAATCAGTGTGCGTATGTGACGCTCTGTTATCAAATACAAAGCTTCGTCACTGTCAGTTAGAACACAATGTAAAGCATCCAATACACCTTCAGCGAAACCCTGTTGTAATTCCAGCCTGTTGAAAAGCCAATCCAATCGGGTAGGTGTAGCGAACTGTGCACAATTTTCACGATTGCCACGAATAAGTGCAGCTAGTAGTAAGTATAGATAATTACCCAATTCATCAAACTGATCAGCTTTATCCTCACCAACAGCTTGCGAAAATTCTCGACGCGTTTGGAATGTTCCAGTAAATCTTTCTATAGTGCTCAATACGTGCCCAATCATACCTTCATTCTGGAGTAGACAAATAATAAGAGGTGAAAAAAAGCCAAAAGTAATGTGGAACTATGAGATTTATTTGTTTGGACAGTTCGGTGTCAAACACAGGACATATCTAGTCAACGATCTCTATATGATGGCAACTAGCTACGAATTGCAAATGACTTGGAATTATCATTCTAGAAAATTTCCATCCATTTTTTAATACAATTTAAATAGCAGTCCAAAGTCACTAATATTTGATATGTCTGGTAGGCTTATCATAATTTCACCAGATGAAAGTCCATTAACCACCTTAGGAAACTTTGATAATTAGAACAAATACAATACATTACTTACAATTACCAAGTAGTGTAACAGCAAGTATTATATTTGTATTCACATTATTCATTTTCGACAGGTTAATACAGAAGTGACATTAATATATTACATATTTTCTGTGTTATAAGAAATTAACTATCGTTTCAATGATCAGAAATTTTTTGTCAGTTTTAGTTAATTCAATTATCATGAAAACCGATTATCAATCATTCATGTAGTATCTCACTTTATACGGTTAAATGACTTAATGATAAAAAACACAATTATTTACCTGAAACAAATTTTGACGATTTCTTAATGCAGTTAATTTAGACTGTTGAATTTCGTGTTCTTCATGTGGATGCGGTTGAGCGAAAAATTCAATCAAATCCTCTAAACATTGAGTTACTTCACCTAATAAATGTCCACTGCTTAAATTACACTGACTCTGTTGTGATGGTAAAGTTATGTTTTGCGGTGATGATATATAGTTTAATGTATGTATAAAGTTATTAAATACAGATGTGCATCGACGTATTGCTGATGCTGACCTGATTTCTTCATCTTGTGCTCTTACTAAACTAAACAAATCATCCATATGACCTTCAATTAATAGGACAGCTTTTTTCTCTTCCACACGACCAACACCACGTTTACGTGTTTCGTATGCCTCATATGATAACCATCGACCAGATGCCGCATGTTGAAGGTAAGCTAATGTTTCACCTAATCTAAGATCTGGTTCACCCATACCTTCAGTTTCGTGTTCTTCTGAACGTTTTTTATCATCCTGCAAATAAAAAAATTTAGAGTTGCAATAAATAAACGTTCACTTTTTATGAAGATGTAAGAAGACAATGAATTTTTAGTCTTAAATATAATCTAGTATAATTTATTAATATTCTGATTCCATCAAAATGATATTTGTATGCACAACATTCTGTTTTATTAAGAAAAACAAAGGCGATAATAGCTGTAATTGGTCCACAACTAGTTCACTTCCTAATCTTCAATTTCAAATTACTAAAGCCTACGTACCATAAATATCAATGTTTTGGTTCTTAGTCTGTTTTTCTAGTCCTTGTCAATTAATATTAATAGTGGTTGTCAGTCGCTCTCATACAAATAGTACAAGATAAACATCACAAAAAATTACGATCAATCAAATATGTAAGGGTTTATTGACGTAAGCAATTATGATATATTGCATCATATCACTTGTTAACTGTTTGAAAACAGTAGTTAGCGTAACTGATAATTACTACGAAGCTGAAAACTCTTTTGAATTTTGTTACGGACATTATCCATATAAACAATTTTATGAATTAATCAAGTGTATAACTAGATAGGACACATACTATTATTGCTTCAAATAGATAGTAAATTAATTCAACTCAGATATTTTATATAAAGGAAGAAACTGAATGTACTACTCAAAATAAAAACATACTTTACTAGGTCTTATCAAAAAGATTGAAGCTGCATTTGTTGCTTCATGTGCTGACAAAGTGACGACATCACAGTGTCCGTTTCCATTGGCTTCACTAGGCAATACACCCAAATAACGACCTGTAGTTACATGACGTAAACGAATTTCAGAACCCCATGAGAAGAAACCAGCACTCCATTTAGTTTTCTTATGTTCAATCCGCCATAATGAGCGAGCACTTGTTGAAACAGCGCCAATTTCATACATAACCGCATGACGTGAACTATCAGAAAACATATAAAAATAGGGGAATAATATTGGTTGGTTAAAAACAATGACTACCAATGAGGTAAGAGTACACTAAAGAGAAATTTTGAACTATACTGTCAAGTGTGGACATGAAGTTTTCAACACCAGCAACCATACAAGGTGAACATTCTCAAAACAAATGAAATCATACACGATACATAACTAACTTCTGACCACCAGCAATAATTTTCGAGATTTCGTGTTTTAGGTGTTGAGATACAAATGTTTTAGAAAACTTAGCAACAATGACTCTTGAGTTAATTAACCAAATTAAGCATGGATAAATCTGAATATATGACCTAGTGCATAAAACTCAAAGCCCTAAAGACTACTATACTACATCTGCTACAAACCATACATACATAAACTAATGTTTTTAGGTGATTGTTATATCTTGTCGTTTGAATGTTACTTGTTATATCTGGTCGTCGCTGATTGTTGTGTCGGAAACGCTTATCGCTTATACTCGGAACGAGGGACCTCCACAATTCCCACGACGAGAAAGTAAGAACACAAAGACTGGTATAAGTGTATATTTATTAACCCCAAAACACGACGACGACGACCTAGTCGAAAGCACACTCATTGATATATTGATTGTACGCACACTTTGTTTAATAACTAGGATGAAATCACATATATAACAAATCACATACTGAGCATAGTTCATGTCAATGGAATGCAAGAATATCACATATTATACAGAATAAAATATCATACGAAAAAACAAAACAAATACTACATCGAGTAATCATTACATTGAATCAAAACAAAGTAATGTTGAAGAAAACGCATAATGAGTAAATCAATCGAAAATTGACTTTTCTTTCCGTCATATCAGTGATATATATTTATGAGATTCGCTCAGTTGCTATCTTTTTGGATGTATCCAGTAACCATTAACTATAAAACGTTTAAACAGAAAACCCTGTGATTTAAGTTTTTCAATAAATGGTTTAATACGCTGAGGTTGTTAAAAATTCTTTACTGTGATAAGTGTCCGAACCGTTGCTTAAGCAAATTCTATTATTTTTTACCCAAGGACTGTGTATGCATAAGCCCCGCACTGGTGTTTTGGTGTGTCATTTTTTCTAATAGTTCAGACCAGTTCAACACTTTAAAATGTACATTTATATCAAATAGAAATACTGTTCATAAACTGAACATATAATATATATGAACAATGAAATGCAGTCACATAAACTTTGTTAAACATTGGTTTAATTTTTCTGAACATAGATTTTAAGCTATATCAACCTCTATCTACGCGTTTACTTGCTGGCCTGTTTGGTTGTCGAAATTAATCAGTAGGTGAAATTTAAAACACTATCTCAATTGTCATTGCTCTGCCCCTTCAGAATCTTCTTCCAAAACCAACCACAGAGACCAAAAGTATTACGAACCAAAAATTTCCACGCTTCTGAGACCTTAGTAATCTACTGGTTCTAAGATGAACTTGGTGTGCGAAGGAGCATATTCACTATTTAATCTATCATGATCCTAACACTTCTGCAACTCATCATTTCTAATGATCAGTTGCTGTTATCTCCTTTTGATTTCTCAAAATTACTAGTCAGTAGTTAATTTGGTATTAAGGCTCTCTTGTGGACTAAGGTTTAATGACTTGATGAATGATTTTTAGACTATTATGCACTAGGTTTACCTTATTAATTGGTAAAATCGAAAATAACGTTTGAGAGCAATAACATGGATTGATTTTACTTCATGCCATCTTAATCAGACAATTAAAACCTATGGTTTTTTCAAACCAGACTTACAAAGCAAGCCGAAAATACTTGTGGAAATGAGTATGTCTGGAAGTTAGTGTGATCACATTGTTAATCCGGCCTGCACCTCTTCGATTCCTTTTAATCGAATAATTTTTTTCTTACTAAGTTATACTACTCGTTAATATTCAATAACTAATTTCATTATCAATCATTTTGAGCACAAAGTCTACCATACTGTTCGTTGTATTTATACGAATGCGTAATATTCAATTTATTTCTGACAGTAACTACTTATATCTGTAACATTTACCTCCATTAGCGTACGTTCACTGAACTTTTGTTTAACTGTGAAGGTCTTTATTTTCCGTGTCCAGTCCCAATTTCAATAGTTAACAGTTATTATACTTTTAGTCACAGCTACTAGATTCCATTTGAACCAACAGATGTTTGTAAATAATCTTCCCGTAATTATTTCAGGAATCATTTTTTTAGACTGTACACGTTGAGGCATACAACACCGCAGACAACTAATGAATTAAGGTGTGTTGATTAACTGGATGCATTTCGTAATAGTAATACCACTTCATGAACAAACATTTTTGTTTAGGATTCCGGATTTTTGGGTGTAACTTCTTCATTTAGTCAGAATTTACTCATAAGGCCCCGATCACCTCAAGGAAATTGCATTGGCAGAATAGGATAAAGTGTCCACCCTAGGTTTTCTGAACATTCTCTGTAAAGTGTTCCTGTTAGGTATGCTGAGGAATATATCAATCATTATCATGTTAAGTCGAATGATGTCCTTGGACTTTAAATGGGCATTCCCTATTGGCCATTATTTATTTCACTCGTTAAATAATGTGTAAATGTTGTTTTCTATTTTATGGTACGATGTGGTTTGTTTGTTTGGTATATAAGTAGAGTATGTCTGAAATATAATGATTCATAACTCAGAGGCTGTGACGTGCGTTCTAGACTTAACTGGCTGGGCTAGACAGGGAAGCGGGACCAATCGTGACTCTAGGTCGTCCTTACGTGTTTTACGTGTCACTGATTCGACCAGTATAAACGCTGCTTATCATAACCTGCAGTCACCCGTTACAACAGTTCCCTCAAGACACTTCATTTCCTCCTGGACGCAGATCATCAATAGAGAGCCATGAAATCTTTCACAGTGCTGAATGGACAGCCGAGCCCTAGTCTTCTGAAATTCCTTAAAACTTTTTTTAATGGACCCTGGAAATAAGATTTATTTTTCTAGAGGAAACTGTCACAAGTATATTTTTGCACTGGTTATAAAACTCCTATTTGATTACTTTTTTCCGAGACGACTGAGAGTTAAATAGCTACAAATACATGTGTACATCATCAGTAAGCGATATCATAGAGAAAAAATTGACTTTAATGAATGCTTTTTATGTCTTCATTAGTAAAATTCTACAGATTATAAAAAATCCTACATCCTGTTTAACGATTAATTATTTAGTCACAAAGCATAGCGTAAATAAATTTAAACAAACAGTTTAAATTACAATTCCACTAATTGAATTTAGACGCTCCTGATCGTGAAAGAACAGTTGTTTACAGAAAATTAGATCAACCATTATTCTTTATCTTTGCAATAATAATTGATTTCCAGTGATCACACTAACCAATGTATAACTATGGAAACCATAAAATAATGTTTCCTAGATAGCTAAATTTGTCCTTATTCCTTCAGTTTTGTTTTCCAAAGAAGAGTATTAAAATTTATGAGTTATTGAGAAACAGTTTCTATTTTACTTACCCAGACAATAAATCAGAATTCACTATACTTGAACGTTGTATTTTATTAGGGGGACTTCCGGGAGCTGATCCGTTCATTGTCATTGCAACCGACGATGAAAATTCCTCTGACTCAGTGGCACACGCTGCTGTCAAAGATTCATCACCATGAAAGAGGCGAACAACATCACCACCTAATACCATATCTATTTAATACGTACAATGTAAACATCAAAAAAATTGATCGGTAAGCCAAACAATTAATTTTCATTTATTTCAAAAGTTATCAAAATTCCCCTTCCTTCATTTATTTTGTTAAGAAGCTAATCGGGTTTAGGTATTTTTTGTTCCACTACAATATTTGCACAGTAATGCTTAATAATCACAATTACTTACAAGGCGATAAGATATCTAATCTGCATGCAATTTATTGTACTATAAAATATCAGAAATAATATGTAAGCTACTAAGTAGATCATCTGTGCGAATTTCTGATAGAAGTTTATTGAGCATTTCAATCGTCCATTATGAATAACAGCTGATAAAATCCCATGTAGATAATTTTTGTCTTTACTAAAATGATTTTAAATGGTTTATGGTCTTTTTAAGGCCTAAACTGCGGTCACTTATAAACCCTGAGTAAATATCACTAAGCTCCTTTGGTTGAAAAGAAACCGTAACTAGTTTGATCATAGACAGTGGTTAGGTCCTTACATAACGAAATAATAGGATACACTGGCTCCTGATTTTTCAGTAGATATGACACACAACAGAGCTCCATCATAGTAGCACCTATGAATTATTTGTTATATTTCATTTAGTAAATAATGGTCTATTATCATTAGCTTTATTTGATGCATACATAAACTGGAACTTTCCGATACAGAGTGACCTTTTTACTTATTTTTTTGTAAATCAATTTACTTTCCCGTTGTTGATATTAAAAACTACATTTTATCAGTCTTTCAAAATATATGGATTATAAGCAGATGCCTTGACACTATCCATGGTTATGTGTTGTTTTATGTTTCGATTGTGATAAGCATTGGAAACCATAACACGTTCCATTCATTTTGGGACTCGTCACTAGAGTGTGCCTTCGTCCCATTGATGTTCATACTTAGATTTGAACCCAATACCTGCCTCTTTTAAAGCCGACATATTATTCACTAAACTAAGTCCGAAAGGTAGTCGACTTGTTTAGCTGGTATTGCGTCATTTACAGGGGCTTATATTTTCCTTCTCATGATTTTCAAGACTGTAGAAATCAGTGTCTTCGTAGAGAACTACACTTTCATGATTGAAGTGATATTAGATATACACCAAAAATGGACAAAAAACTTACGCATAGATTTTTGCCTTATTGCACCACTGGAAACGGGAAGTACTGTCCACAGAGTTTGCTGGAAACTCGCAATTACTCCATTGCTTGAAATGACTTCCCCATAAACATGCTAAGAAGAGCCAAATATATTTGGGAAACAGTTAATTTTGAATATCTGCGTTAAACTATTTCAGATGGAGTCTGATATGGTTCAAACGTGGTTAGAACCTCAAGAAAAATAGGTTCTTAAGTTGTGCCAAAGCCCCTTTGTTTGGCCAGTTTTTATAGGAGCATTCGTATTATCCAGTCATTAATTAGTTCCCAATATTCCTTGTAGAACCGATGACCTACTTACCAAATGACACAGCAATCAATTACCAACAATCAAAACCTATAAACTTATTGATCCTCGAGCTCCTTCCAGCCCAGTGTTGAACCAAAAGACAAAGATATCAAGTAAATCAGTTCCCTATTACACTATTCAGTCATGACCTAGAACTCAAAAAATAATATCTCTCCAACATCTGATTGCATAGTAACACAAAGTAGAAAATTGCGATGTATAAACAACTCAGTTACAAGTGACACCAAAACAGAATAATAGGGAACTAGTTAACTGGTGATAAATCTGGAATGACTTGACATAAAAAGTTCCTTTATAGGTTCAACTAAGGTCAACGAATAGGAGGACTTAAAAAATTAGTCACTAAAACGTCCAACAATTATGCAATAAAAATAAGGTTAATAATCACCCCGGGTATAGTTCTGAAATGTGAAGGCACGGATCGGCAAAGCACAAGCAGCATATCTACAACTGAAGAACATCTGGAACTTAAAACAACCGTCAACCAACACCAAAGTCAGAATTTTCAATGCAAATGTCAAGACAGTTCTACTGTATGGAGTGGAAACCTGGAAAACTACGAAAGCCATCATCCAGAACACACAAGTGTTTATTAACAGCTGTCTACACAGACACTTTCGGCATCAACCTACTGTGGGAGAGAACAAACCAGATCCCAGCGGAGGAAGAAATCAGGAGGTGGATAGGACACATATTGAGGAAAGCACCTAACTGCATCACGAGACAAGCCCTCACTTGGAATCCTCAAAGCCAAAGGAAAAGAGGAAGACCAAAGAACACATTACGTCGAGAAATGGAAACAGACATGAGAAGAATGAACAACAATTGGATAGAACTAGAAAGAAAGGCCCAGGACAGAGTGGGTTGGAGAATACTGGTCGGTGTCCTATGCTCCATTGGGAGTAACAGGAGTAAGTAAGTAAATAAGTTTTGAAAGTTCAACTTTTGGCAAGTCCTATTCCATGTGACAAAGGTACGGTGACAAAACTATTATTTTAAGGATTATTAAAGCTTCCGTTATTCAGCGATGAGGAACTACAATACCTAACCCTGTTTGTGGCTGACGAGACCAGTTAGAAACATAAGTGCGCACAAGATATCTACTGTAGAAAAACATGGTGTTATATGTTTAGGCCTTAGAAAACAGTATTTAATATTAAAAAAACAATGATCTAACAGACTTGTAAGCTGATAACAGCCTTAATAAATGCTTTGAATGTGAGACATCAATTGGATTCTATTCGTAATTAACAGATGAAATGTTTCACAATCTGAAACAATTCACTTTTTGAGTCGACTTGCTTCAATGAACAAATGTTTTTGTGTCTAGATTTTAACAAATTCAAATTCACATCTTAACTAAGGAATGCAAATCTGGAGTCGGAAATATGGATTATTATTAGCAAAACGAATTCTTATTAATATACACTAGTGAGAAACTATATATTTGTATTCATATGTTTGATAAAATGACACGGTTAGGAATAAGGATCATGTTGGTAAATATAAGTTCTGTTAATAAATAATACATATCAGTATCTTAAATAAAAACGTTCTGTCATTTTTGGTGGTTGTTTGAGTCTTCCCATTGATGTCGAGGACTGCAAGTGATCAGTTGGATATTGACATATATGCATCTTGTGTGGATTGCCTCGATACTGCCTGACGTCACAAGCTGCATAAGCAGAAATAGATGGTGGCTAGCGGTGGATGTGTGTTTCTTCCCACTTTGAACCCATCAGTTGGATGTACCTGAATCTCAAACAACCAATACAAACGTCACTTCATTACACAAGCTAGTGGATAACTGGGCTCAGTAGCTAGGTAGATAACATGATGGCGTTTGAGGTGAACAGTACTAGTTTCAAGTTCCGGAGTGAACAACAACTCTGGGATCCAGGTATATCTGGCTGACGAGTCTCAGATAGGACGAAACGCGTGTCCTGGGTTTCACTGGTAGCCACCATCCATCTCTGCTTATTCTGGCATTTTGTATATGTGGTCGTCCTGATGCCGTATAGAAATCAATTTACACCTTTAATAAGATTTTCTAAAATCTAAGTTAACCTAAGAGTGTCCTAAAGTAAATACACGTTATTCTTAGTCAATATGAGCTATGGAGATATGGTGACTTTCATAAATTTCTAGAATAATACACAAAATTGTTTCATACGGCTAATTACAATGAATAAATTCGTGAGTAAATAGAAATCACAAAATGAATGTGATTATGGTATGTATCTCTATTGTATTGCAGTTGTAAATGAAAGGGTTATGTGTACTCTAAGAATTTTAACATCATGTCATTAGCTCATTTCTGAACTTATATTCCTTTCAATTACATCCTGAAGTTGACCATAAGTTAAAGTCGAGTAATAAGCCAAAAAATTATGGTTTTACTTTGTTAGACCGTCGAATAATTTAGTTAACTTTTGATGAATAGGCTGAAATAAGTGAGATATATAAAATAGCTGGACGAAATTAGATTCTGCTTATGTATGCTTAGATAATTCAGTTTAAACTACTAAACTCTACTGTTTAGTCTGTTTAACCTTCTGAATGGTAATATAACTACATAAATGACATTTGACCTGTTACTTATAGTTTGACATTCCGTTTAGAGTAAACTTTTCAGTGAATTCATATCATAATCGAATAAATCACAGTATATGATTCTTGTGTTTAAAGGGATAGATACTTCGGTTCGATTTCACTAGATACACTAGAACTATTATAAATGCTTTCAGTTATCCTATTTTAAGTAAGCAAGATGAAATATGCATCTGCGATTTCACTGATATTTTCCAGGAGAATATCTAAAGCTTTCTTCAAATTAAATAATTACTAACTATGGGTGTGATTTTCTTTGAGTTATTTATTTTTACGCAAAATTATGGAAAATCAAACAATGTTTAGTTAATATGAATTATTTTGACTGATAATCATCAGTAAATTTAAAGAAGAAGTCATAAAAAGGTAAATAATATTTTTTCAAACCACCAATTGTATTATTTAAACAAACTTTAATTAGTAGCAGTATAATGCTTAAAGTATATCACTCAAGTTTCACTACTAGATTTCTATTTCGAACACTACGATCAAGTTATGTCATCAACTTATGATATAAAGAATAAAAGTAATTCAGTGAAAAAATATTCCTTTCCATAAAATCGTTTACTAAAGTTGTTTAGTCGTACTTGTGGTGTTATAATGATCTAAGTTGTTCATTCCATAAAAGGACACCAGGAAACACTATACACACATAAAAGCATATTTCTTTACGCGTACTATATATATACACGTGTATGTATATCTATGCCTAAATGCATATACACATATTATTCAGCATACTGATGGTAAGTAATGAATTCCACACACATTTGGGCACAGAGAGGAAAATGTTAGTTATTGATTTATGCACCAATCACTGATTTACAGAACTTATTTTAATTGAACAAAAAGTAAAACTATCTCTGAATTTGGTCAAATTTAGTAACAGCCCACAGAATTTATTGATTGGTTGTTAGTTTATTGTATTGTAGCTTTCTAAAAGCATCTGATTCAGAAAAGACAAGTATTAGCCATTAGGGGATATGAATGATTTTTGATCATATATTGTGAAAATGAAAATGCTATCTTAGCAAAACTAGAAAATGGCCCACTTAAAAGTTTATGCAAAAGTTCACATTTGCTGTCGAAATATAGATGATACATTCATCTTTATATAGATAGTAAAGAAGAATTATTTGTTATCAAACTCACAAAATGCGGAGAATCATGAAGGTAGAATAGTCTCTTTAAATATTCTACAAACGAAAAGACCAGATGAATTAATTAGAAAGAACTCAAACTGAAAAGTAATTGAATAAAGCAGTACATACATTTCCTTTGCTTTGTACCTCTGAAGTACGAAACTTAGTAAAAAAAAGCCATTATAGAGAGTCAAATTTTCTATTAACACTATTGAAAAAGAGCTGAAAGCCTTGTACAATACTCTTCGGAAAACAGATGACCTGAAAAGTTCATAAACAAATATAGGGCCACAAAAGTCAAAATAAAAGAAATACAAACCCTCAATAAGAAATAATTACTCATGCATTTAAAGTTTAAAGGCGAGGCAACTAGTGAAATGTTAATCCAAAGACTACTCAGAACACTCCGGAGGACATTCAATGCTCGAAAACTGCGTCTAGTGTTTTCCGTGAGTCAGTTTGTAAGACAGAGATTAAAAGATAAAATACATATACTAGCCATCTCGTTTTGAGGTTATTAATTCGATTGTTCTTAAGGGACATGTTAAGTAGGTTAAAGTTCCAGGAATATACATTTGTGTGCTCATGAACACCTTCCGGCATAACTAAGCAGAGGTGTAGTCAAGACAGTAAACAACTCAGTACCAGTCCAATTAGTTCAAAATAATTGTAGTTCTAGGAAAAATCAGTCGTTTACAATTGTTTATAAGATTAGTAATTTTCTACCAAAGTCTAGTAGACTCAAAGAACTCCGAATAGTAGGATGAATACCTATTCCGATTAAAATACTGGCGGTATGAGTACAAAATAAATATGTTCGACTCATTATGTTGCCTTGAGTAACCTCAGATTCAATATTTCAATGGTCATCTTAAGTGTAGGATAACCTCATTTTAGTGATGTGCATACAACCTTCCCCTTTTGTATTTGCATCGATCAATATTAATCTTATTCAAATATACATGGTTTTCATACTTATTATCATCATTATTACTATCAATCTTACTTTTATTATTAATCTTTCAAACACGTGAATGATTTAATTAACATTCACCAAACCATTTTGCTCCTTCTTACTGAGTTCATATGATCTTATATACTTAATAATCTTTCACAAAACATCTGACTTGATCTGTAACTACATTATTACTTTGTTCATCCTTACTGTCAATATTTATATTCGATCATTGCTTTCACAGTTTCATTCAAACTGATATTATACACCAGTCATTTCAACAATAAAAATTCTAAATATGGCGAGAAGAACAAAATCTGCAGAATAACCTGGATTCATTTTATTTCAAGACTTTTTATCAACTAAATGCGGCTGATATCTGCATTAATAGTATCAAAAAAAAGTTTTACGTATCATAGTCAATGAAGTTTAGTTCGAAACTGCATAATAATAATAGGAAACAACATATTTAACATAATAGTTGAAATTGACTAGTATTTATGGGCTGAAGATGGAGTCATATGAAGAAGGGGTTATAAAGATTATAAAGAGACGATGAATAAAAATATGTATGTATTTTCACAGGCTGAATTAATAAAAAACAGTATGTCATTGATGGGATTCGAGTGTAAAGAGAGTTATTATAAATATTTGTAATCTCAAATGCAACTGTACATTCACTACTTATACTAATTCAACTTTTAGTTTTGAGAATTAACCTGAGCCATTATACCGGTGACTATCAATGAAAATAATATTTTGCTAGGAGTTATTTGTTTAACGGTATTTATATCACATTCATAGTTACAATTACAAAACACTTACTAAATAACGCTCTGATGAAACACTGACCAAGATAAGATCATCTCCTATCCGGACCTTTTCTCCAACAGAACGCTGTTTTGACGCTGGATGTATTGTCCACCAGCAAGCTTCAGCTTAAAAGTGGAAGTACAACGAATTTGAGTGTTTGATAGTTCAACAAATGACAAGTTTGTAGTTTGAATGTGTACTAACAAACTATTCAGTTTCAAGAAGTCAGTCACCGTACGAAAAGCATACTATATTTTCTAAGGTCTTCAGTAAGAATACATAGATTTTATATCCGTGGTCGATACTTGTTAAGAGTTGAGCCTGTTCCTAATCTTAGGATGATTTAGTTTGCTCTCGAGACATAGACATATGCGTCCTGGTTTAGCACCAGGAGATATCTATTAAATATCATCGTCATAATATATCTTATGGAGAGATATACTGTGTAACTGGATTGGCATTGAAATGCTAATAAAAATGATAATTTTTATATTTACATTTTCTACATGTCACTAGTGATTGATTAAATTGAGTTTTAATCTTAATATGCACACTTTGTAACAGTCTACATAGCATTCTGGACGGAGTTCTTGTTTTTACATCTGTGAATCATTATGAATGTTGTGGGTATTCTTTATTGACAATAATTAAAAACATCAAGCTAAGTTTCAGGGCCAATTGTTAAATTATCCCGGGGCATTCATTGTCGAATATGGTTTATAACATTACTTAATTCACTTGCCAGGTCTTATTTCTCGATCTGTGGAAACCAGTCAGTACTGGGCGCAAAAGTATCAATTTAGAGAGCTTATAAAGACTAATTTATGGCGCTAAGTTTTGGTTCGTTTTTGCGGTAGTTAAATTTTAAATCGGGTTTGTTCAAATGTTTGCCATAACTGTTCGATATAAAGTTATGGCATTTTATCATCGCACGGATTTTTAATTCTGAATAGTTTTATCACTTATTTAACCAATTTTTTCATCCTTAAAAGCGTTCTGACTTGGATCTATAGACTCTTATGTCAACGAGCAGAATGTTATAGTTAGGTGGATTCAGATGTTCCTGTTTACCTGTGAATAAACTATGAGTATGAATAAAATTACACAGTAAAAGAAGTTAAAATTTAAGCCTTATCACTCATAGCCTTCGAATAATAATCATAATAATCTCTCTAACTTCAACTAGATAGTGTAGCTAATCATGAATATGGGCATAAATAGTCAGGGTTTTGAGATGCTGAAAAATACTTTTAAGTCTTGCAAATGATTTTAGTGGTGTTGAGCTCACTGAATTGAATAATTCGTTTGAAGAGCCTTCATCTCGATTCTAAACAATATCTTTAGCTCTTGTGTTACATAGAAGTGAACTTTTGTTTATTCTGTAAGTCGTATAAAGGCTAGTCATAGAGGTACTATTCATGATTGGTTTTCTTGGTAAGCTTCTCCTCCTTTGTTTGTCCTTTCGTACACATTTACTGTCTTTGTCAATTGATCTTTAAACTGATGAGAGTGAGTTATCCCTTTCGTATGTATTCATAGATCAGGCGTATGTCAATGTGTTTATTGAATAATGATTTATCTGAAGTCCATGTTTAGAAAGACTCTATGACATTCGTGAAATATCCCCCATCTAGTTTTAACAAAGTTTCTATCACAGACGAACATATTAAAAATTTTTATGGAAACAACGAATCACTGGAGTAGGGTTTATTGTCAGAATCAAAGCCTCCCTACCTTTTAAGTTTTATTAACTTCACGATAACATACCCCAAGATAAAAATGATCGTATGTTTGCCTGAGAAACAACAGCTCAGTTAAATAACTAAGAATACATTCTCCTTGTTGTGTGATTTCTTATAACAAATATGTTGGATTAATTTCTTAAAATATGAAAACATTCATATACTTAAATTAATGACTTACTCTCAGCATTCTGTTGAAGACCAACATCAAAAGCTAGTTTATCTTGTGATGTACTTGTCGAAAGACACGAGAGGTACTAGGAAAATTATTAGAATACGACCAAAATGATGTACTATTCAAAGCAATATGAGGCTACAAAAATTTATTCTTAAAAAAATGAAGGTTATAGCATAATAAAATATTACTTCTCGAGTTTAGAACTAAGCTCTAATAGTGGTATGAGATACTAAATTTTAGTTTACGGAAACAGAGATAATAAAAACTGGGATTTTTACTATAGTTTTAAGAAATACGATTGCAAACGTAATAAAATTCAGTAACCTTCTACCCATAATATATAAAACGCCTTGAAGCTGCATTTTAACGTCAGAAACGGGCAACTATCAACGATATGGTTAGTTAAAGTAAGTGGATTTAATTGAGGTCGTTCGATGCTGATAAATTAGAGCACAATAGATATCCCGACAGTGATATGTCTGAAGACAAAATAATTTTTGACAACCCAATAAAATTAAGCGGATCTTTTATGGGGTAGTTGTATCCCATGTGTCTATAAAAATAGTCAACAGATTGTATGTACCTGAAGATATAATTTTGGTTTAATTTAAAGCCATCTGTGGATATATTTGACATGCCAAACATTTTAAATTTAATAGTCAAGTTAAGAAACGCAGGTAACATGACTCAAAAGCCACAACTATTAATATCACGAAAACAATTATACACCTATACAGTTTAAAGTAAGAAATCTTAAGGTACGGCACCCTTAAGAAAAGGTGACTTTCAAAAACTCCAACTGTCATTTCTTAAAACCTGTATATTAGGAAGGATTAATCATATAACTAAGTAAATTAATCACACTTCTTGGTTTAATGTAATAACACTGGAAGTTGTGTTTTATAACTTGTCACTACCTAATTATTGCCTGGTAGTATTCAGCTCAAATTATTGAAATTTGACCAGTGATTGGTAAAATTTAAACAAATGCAACCTCAGTGTACTTTTTTGTTTCTTCCTTGAATCGAACTACATCACTCGTTCTGAGTTATGACACCATACTGAAAAAAGAAATGAACCCAGTTGGAAAATTATAAATACAGGCGAGGAAATACTACTGAGCTCACTGTAGCTTGGTGGATTGTTGATTTACACAATTAAACTTTACAGTTAAACTAAATTGTGAAAGGCGTTTCACTTTCGAAGTATATCATTTATTTTAGTATAAAACTTGACACAGATAATGAACAGTACTTACCATGTTACTTTCTCTATGTTTTAGCCGGATAGCATGTCCATAGAGCAAAGTTCTATGACCGGACTGACCGCTTCCCTATTAAAATTAAATAAACTATCATTTAATTGTTGTTTCTTTCATGTTAACAACATTTTTGGTGCAAAAAATATGTCAATAAAAATTTCTTACTTATTTCATTTTGTTTACGTTCTTGCTAGCTCAGACTCAAAAAGTTGCTGAAATTGTTAGTCAAGTCTCTGCATGACAAATAGTGTATTTTACTTCAAAGATGAACTTTATTAAGACCCCCAAATTCCACGTATATTTCTAAACTCAAAATTTCAAAAATAATAACACGTTTATAGCTTGTTAGTTCATATATATTTTTGTAAACCTTTATTACTTAATAGATTTTAACAGACGTTCCCAAATTTTCTCAAAAATGTTTGACTGACGTTCCAAATGTAAAGTGGCTTAAACCATACAACATATTGCTCTACGATCGTAAGATGATAGACGACTAAACGGGCTTTGCTTAAATAATTCTCGTGTAATATCTTAAATCCACTAAAATAATCTCCATGTTAAACTCATCTTACCACATTGCCTGAACGTACCTATATTTTTGACACCCAATTATGATGTTAGTTATATCTAGTCATCTACTTGTAGTTAACCCAGGACATTGAAAAAAAAAGAATAATGCTGCATTTTTGCTCATGGTACGAAACAAGGTTCGTCCTTTTATCACATAAGTCAAAAAATGACCACAGTAAACATTTCAAGACTGAACTTAAAGTTGTGCAGGTAGGTTTTCCACAGTATTAAACTCTTTGCATTGTGATAATAGCGTAACTTATCGCGTCATTTGGTAATTTTAAGAACATCTGCTTCGTTGGTAACTTACATCTGAGCTTTGATGTTGAATGGAAAGCATTTCTTGAAGGGCTCGTACAGAAAGAGCTTGGTCCAGAACAAAAACACACGGGGGCATATTTGGAGGAGGTGACTGTAACACAAAGGTCGACAGAAAAAAGAATAATCATGGGGTATTATTTTCGTAATGGAATCATGTTTAGCTATCTGATTCGTTATATACAACAGTATACAAACTACGTATTAATGGGGACTCAGCAAACAGTAATGAAGGTGAACGGTAGTTGGCATAAATCTTGCAAACTACAAGGTGAGGTACGAATCGCATACTTTATACACTTTTTCGCTTTATAAACTTGAATGAAGTAAAGACGACAAAATCGGAAATAAAAATTAGATCCATTTTATAATGTGATGCAAATCTAACTATTTTTACATTGTTCAGACTGTCTCACTTTTTGGAATGTTAAAAAATCAATATTAATAACTGCTATATATCTTATAAACGAAGGAACATTTGAATTTTTGTAACAAAATATTATATAAAATAAACTCCATAAACAATCCATTGTCTAATTTAAACATCCCACTCCGCCCTACATTGGTATTACATGTTGATAGTGTAAATGGTTGACATCGCTGGCTTGATCTATGCTTCACTCCGCAAACTTTTGAATAAAACTACTATTATCACCAGTGATAGTTGCATTTACCCTTGAAACGATGTTGCCTAGGGAACAGATAGAATGCGTTTGATATCAGCAATCCATCGAAAACATTAAAAGGCCATAATATTGAAGTATAATTCAACAGATTCAGTGAACATTCTACCACACTTGTTTCGAATTTTTATCAAGTTCTAATACTGATCCGTCAAAATTAATTTCGTGAACTACGTTGACATTGGATCATTTTTTAAACTCAGATGGTGGAAATCTTTTTACCTTCTACAAAAATAAAGTTTAATTCTGCCAACTATCAAACAGGCATTTAAAGTAAGAAAGATTGTGAAATATTCCAGCTGAATACTAGAGATAGATGATAGTTTTTGAAGGTATTTGGTTAAATAAATTGGACTACTACACTGAACGGCTTGGCCGTGGTTCCATTGCAATTGAAAGAAATATATGAATACATTGAGTACAATATAGAAATTCCTACAGAATGGCACATATTCAATCTTACAAAGGTGTTGTGCTAAGTTGAAAGAATGTTTGTAATCACATTTGTGAATATTTAAATTGCTTCTCCGTAAACAAATATAACCAGAGCTTAGCATACAATAACTTGAAGACTATGTATAAAACTACCCAATTGCCGCTATAGAAACTCTTAAGAATATCTCGGGGAGACAGAAAAAAATCTACGAAATTTCCACAGGTTAGGGGAAAATCCCCAGTTTTATGGAAATCCTCAAAATTAAGGGATTTCCACAATATTTCCCCATAATCTTATAACACTTTGTGGTTTTTCACCAAACTTCCCCAGAAATTTAGGTAACTTCATTGAAGACTACCAGACTTCCTACGACTTTGTGGAAAACTCCAAAATGTTACATTAAATATCGCATATACAAAAACTCACCTCTCTTGAAATTATTTCTAAAGAACACATTCTGTTCCCAAATCCCTCTGCAGCCAAGCAAAGTCGCTCCGAGCTTCCATGTGAAAAGCAGCTGAGGCAAATGAAGTCTTCCTTAACAAAAAAAACGAAATGAATAATATGAGGAAACATACAGTCCTGAGAAAAGAGGTCTCCTCCTCAACTGGTAATGAAGACATATTCGAAAGCAGTTTTTAGGTTTTGTAAATTTTTCTCAATTTTTAGGGTCACTAATTCATTTTAAAGCCAATGTGGCGTAAAGTTTTCAGTGTGAGCGATAACACCTAGTGAGCACTTCAGAATTCTTCAACGTAGTAGATATAACATTAGTGTATTTAAACAAGCATAAACTATACTTTCTGACGTGTTTACAGATAGATTATTTTGAAAAATAAACAGAATAAATAACAAACTTTTGGTGAGCTGGTATACTGAGTAACCATGTTCCATAAAACCAAATTAACTCCGTCAGTAGCCCTTCTATGTTGAGGTATTGTGCTTATTTTGATAGCTTATGGACGGAGTGCCCTGTTTTGTCGACTTCGGGTTTTTAATAATAGCCTACTAGATTAAAAATGTGGGTAAAGTCCTGATGAATTAGATAAGATTGTCGAATGATGTAGCTTTTCGACGAACATATAGACACCCATTTTTCCACATATACAAAATCCTTAGAACAAGTTTATTCATATTGCATTTTATATTTAGGAGGGACAGCTGATAAAGATTCGCATTTCGTTTGTTTTACTACGGACGTTACTTTGCGTAGATATACGGGCTACTTTCTCTGGAACATAACCTGACATCTCCGAGTCTTTAGAATCGATAATCCCGAATCGTTTCGGTGATCATGGATCTATATTGTGTAATCAGGAAGTAGTCCGAGAGAAACATCATCAGGGTTTTTAAAATAGTACCTCCACCAAAATGTTTTTTCTTACAGTGGTTATTTTTCTAGCTTTTCTCTCTACTGTATTCTCTAACCTTTATCCAAGACCCACTTAACCACACTTTTATTCTTCACAATCTTTGTATAAACCTTCGTTATCTGATTCGCTTTCATCATTGTACTTTTGCGTTTCGTAATCCCGGACCACTGACAGTACGGTCTCGTTTGACTAAACTCAAGGATAAGGTGTGGAATGATCAAGTTTTTTCTTCATACTCAAGTAAGGATAAGCGATCCTACGCCTGAAGATTTAGAGATGGCTTCTTCGTGTAGTAAACCGGAATACCATCAAAGATTAAGAGGAACTGAGCTCAATTTAGATAACAACTGTTGGTGAAGAATATGTAAGCAACAGCCACAACAAATTATCGACGCAAGTAAAGTCGTGTGGTTGCTTAACATTTATATACCTACTTGAAACTCTCGAGACCTACTGACTCCCGTGTCTGGCTCATCCAAGCTTAATGATCAATCTTGTATGCCTCTACTCCTAAATTTACGAATGAGTACCAACTTATCGGCCACAGTTACTAAACGAAGCTGAGAAAAAGAAATGTAGTATTAATAGATTGGGACAAACTACCAAACATACTGGTCCCTAAGTTTACTAATAGGAAAATGATCCTACTACCTCACGTTCGTTGATAACTGGTTAGCAGTACGTCCACGCTTAATAGAAAACGACAGTTTATCTATTTCATTTGTGCTACGACTTTTTCCAATCCATAGATCTGTCAAGGTTCCTACCCAGATATTTTGGATCATATATCAAGCAAAATAGTATTTTCAGTTGTAGTTCACTCTCAACATGGTGCTAGTGTGACATTATGTTACCGGTGAGTGAGTATTTGATACACCATATGCCTGAAATCTAGAAGTCACAACGCTGACCTAAAACTGGAAGAACCCACCAGAAAGTCAGCATCTGATATGCACTCATGCATTGTCAGAGACGTAACGTAATGAAAAATCTGAAAACCTTTGCACAAAATTTCATTAAACAGTATTATGATTTATTTGTTTCGTCTCCCTCTCTTGTATTTCAACGTTTATTCAGGCCTTTTTAACCACATTTTATGTTCTTCAGTCTCCTTTGTTGGGGCTTTTACAATTTTATCCTGGTTAAAATTTTTACCACTTATTACTTAATTTACTGTTGTATGTTGCCAGATCACGGACAATAAGATCGTGTTTGACTAAACCCTAGGTCAAGGTGTCGTCCAGTGCTGATTGTTAACCTTTGACTGTCTGCCTGGAAAGGTTGCTGGAACCCTTGTAGATAGATATATGATCTCATCTTGTTGAGGATATTTTTACTGATTCTCAGGCATCAGATTCTTGTTTGTTAACTGGTCGTCTTGTTGCTTATCACGTTAATTTGTGTTTGAGAGACCCTTAATTGCATAGCTTAGGCTGTACTGTTTGAGTGAGTGATTTAATCTCATGAGTCTGTGATAAGTCTTCTAGGAGTATCTAATTATGTCTTGTATCTCCAGGATAACAAACAACGTCCAAGCGTGTAGCTGTTCCTATCTGTTGTATTATTTTTGTGTGACTGGAAAGCAGATTGAGGCTTTGCCTGAATAAGTGACGTATGATTATAATTCCGCATTCAACTTTTATTAAGGCTAGTGATTACACAAATGTAAACACTGTGCCGAAGAAACTAGATTCTGACATTTGTTGTTAGCATATTTTGAATATGTTAAGAAAAACTGATAAATATTCCACGTCAAAAAGTCAAACATTATTTTCACAAACATATTAGGTAATGAAGATTGTGAACAAATATAAAGAGAAATTACTGAGTTTTCTGAGAAAGATATGTCAGTGGAACAAGCTACTGTTAAAATCCAGCTGATATACGCAGTTTTATGGGGGTTTCTGTACGGAACTATTCAATTCAGTTAACATTTCACGACACACAATTTCGTCATGGAAACAAAGTAACTGACATCAATTCATAAGTTTGCATAAAAATTTAAGTAAAAACACTTTCAGTGGCAAATAAAACCGCGGAATTCGGCAGTTGGGTATGGTAGCCACAACCCGAAGCTATGCCCCAGTTTCTGTCAACAGTAAGAAGCAGTGTGTGGGTGTTAGGAAAGGAAATTGTAGTAGCGCGGTCCTCACATTGAGGATGAAGACGCCATCCAAAATCAACCGACCGTATATGACATCCCATTGCCGAAGCGTAGCTCACCTGATTTTAAAACAGCTTTGATAAAGAACAATGGGAGAAATGCAGCACAATGTTTAGAATGGGTACTACTTCAGCAAAACTGTTCTGCCTGTATAATCATGAAAATGTAGCGGAAGATAACCCCGCTCGTTAAAAGTAGTTTTATAAATTTTATAGACATGCAAAAGATCATAGGTTAGGAGACCTCAGATCCCAGTCAGACGCGACAAACCTTGAAGCAAAGGAGATGCTACTAGATCACAAATAAACATCCGATAGCCAACCAGTATGGTCGTTGACAGTGCGCCTTAGCTGGTAAGTGGTAGCTCGGAAGAATCTCACGAAAATGATATGCAATAGAGGCGCCGTCTCTCTAGCTGCTTAGGCCTTCACACTACCATGACAGTTGAAGTTTTCCGGTTTCCTGGTCTGTTGCCTAACGACCATTGAGTCTCTCTTCTGATGGTTGTGATTTTTCTAGATCAAGACGACCTAACCGAGGCTCATCAGGTCCGATACAACATGATATATCCAGCAACATCAGATGTTGTAAAAACTGTCCCAGATCGGCAAGACAATAGCAGAAAAGCCAAATTAAATACCCTCAGGGTCAAGCGATCTTGACCAACAACCCGCAACACAGGATACTGAGGCCACTGTCTTGTTGATAGAACACGTTATGCAGGCCAAACACTGCGTAGGCCAGTTCCCACAACCTAGTCAACTCACTTTAAATAACGATTTGTGTGGAACCCTGGAGTTAATTTACGCTGCAGAAGAGCATCAAATGATGTGATGATTGTAGTATTTTTACTAACTGATATTTTTTAACTTTGTTGCGCGCTGATTAAGAATTCCAGTTACCATACGTTCGTTCGTTCTCATTTAGTTTTACCTGTCATAAATTTCACCACTTCCAAAATTCTTTGTTAGTACAAATATTAGAATACTTCCAATTACCACATTGACGTCGCCATGGAGTCAAATCTTTGACACTTTGACACCAATTCAAGTGGGGAATTCTTTGAAAACACCGTGAAATGGTTCAAAATCTGATGTATGACTAGAAAAGATGAATCTCTCAAGGAATTACTACTTTGTCATGTGTAGTATGCTAGCTTTAGATACAAAGAGAAAGTGAAGTTGTATAAAATGAGAAAGTTGAAGAATTTGTAGATGAAATACAGAGACAGGTCATCAAGTTAAGTTTCAGAGAATTGTTGGAAATTCTACTTCATGACCAGATAAATATTACGAATTTATAAAAAGAATTAGCTCAGAAACCTAAAAGTTCATTGCAACAAATTAAAACACTATATATTAACTATTAGGCAGTGAATGAACTTCATTTCCAGTCAGTGAAAATCTCTCTTCGTGATAAACTACATTCTCAATGTCGCTCTAGCTCGTGTTTGACTAATAATGGTCCACATTCCTGTAGAAGTATGAAAAGTGATTCAACAAAGGATAGATAAGCAGGTACGAAGGCGAGCACAGGTTTGTTAAATGTCTATCCTGTGATAAATTTCACTTAATCCATATTTCTTTCTTCATGCTAAATGCCTTAAGTGTGGTAAGATGGGACACATCAAATCGGTCTGCAAAACTAATGTTCATTTTAACAACAGTAATGATAAACCCTGTAGTGTGGATTTTATCAACATGGTATTTCTAATGATCATCTTTCTTTATCTACGATTTCGAAAAGTCATTTTCATATTCAAAGAAGATTATGTACCTCCTTTGGCTCATTCCATCACTTTAGTGTTGACACAGGAAGTATAGAGTCCATTATTTCATTCAAGAACGGAAAATTTCTAGTTTCTAACGTTGAAGTATTGTACAATTATTGACTGATCCTGCATTAATTCATTTATCTCTGCTGCTATAATAATAGACCCAATCCAAAGATTGTACATTTATCATGATGTGACAACGTAATCTACGTGTAAGTGTCTTACGTGCAAGTTACATCACCGTCTATACTGACTAGTCCTATCGCAACAATGAGCTATACAATATCCAGTACTTCTGAATGATATATTTCAGCTGAAGATAAAATAATGTATTTCATGTGAAAAGGTATGAGTTACATAGAATGACCATGTCTGCAGCGCTGAGTCATGCTATAGCAATCAATTGTTCCCTCATTCACCATTTTTTGACCTTCATGTGTCACATATTG